TATATACTTAAAGTGATGAACTGATTGAAAGGGCCGGACGTTTATTTTCATTGAACTTGATCCAAGTCGCAACAAACAGATAACTCTATTGGTGAACGCTGATCCACTGGAAGCAAAAAAAATTGAAAAATGAAACAGTCATACAAGTGGTTCCTCATTATGAATTCTTCAAAAATGAGTGCAAAAAGTTTGTTTTAGATTTAAAGAAGAAAAGTTAGAAAAAACAAGATTTAAATATTATTAGTAAAACAAGTTTTATTTTTTTATTTAATAAATTTTGTATTTTAAGTTCTTCTGTTGTTCTGAGGTGATAAAGACATTATTTACTGCTGAACTTTTCTTTTCGACCTTTCAGCATTAAAATTTTATAAAAACTTGTGAAGGAGAAAAATTATTGTTTAAATTTATTGTTAAAGAGAAGAAAATCAGCGGCAATTGAGTGTAGGAAAGACTGGAGAAAAGGTGAAAACTGAGGTGTCGAGTGTTGATGAAGCTTTCTCTTGATAATCTTCTCTTCTCCTACGCATCAACTTTTTTTCTCATACTTTTGATTTCTTTCTGCGACTGCGCTCAAAAAAACTGCACAATTTAATAAAATTTTCAGTGATTAAGACATCCTATCAAAAAACATTGTAACAAATGATTGCTGATGCTGCTGTGAAAATCGCAAGATAGACTAAACACTAGGCGATTACTTTTTTATTGACAGTTCTTTTAACCGTCTGAGTGTCTGTTGATGATAACATTTTTATAGCTTTTCAGTACAGCAACGTAAACAAAAAAAAATTTTTTTTAGCTTTTTATATCCAAATAAAGTTTAAATATTTTTGCTATCTCACTGTTTGCTTTGTTTTTTTTTTAACACTTTGGATGTTACTCAGCTAGGACAACTTGTCAGGTACTTCGCTGCTAATCTAAGAAATTACAGTTGTCGACAGAGCGGTTCAGGCGGTTGATAAACGAAAGAAAAACGAAATTTATTGTGAAAATCTGTTTAAAATTTATATTTGGAAAAGCAGAAAAATTCAAATAAAGATTAAAAAAAAAAAAGCTAAAAGAAATCACTTTTCAGCTGCCAATTGCATTTGGAGCATCGCTTGGTTGGCTGGAATTTGGTATCATCGAATACGACACAATTTCTTTGGTATTTGCACCCTTTTTGGCTGTGTTACAGGGCCTGCAAATTGTACAACTGCAAAAATATTGTAAAGCACTTACATCTGACGACCCACATACTTTTATCCTCTCCTTTACCGGTATAAAAAGAGATTTCAATCAAAAAAAAATTATCAAGCTGTTGAGAAAAACAGTATTTTTGAAAACAATAAAAAAAGAAAGAGTTTTTTACGACAGTGTTTCTTCAAAATAATTTCCACTTCAGTCACATATTTATTTCAAATCCCAAACAATTTTTTGATTTTTTTTTTTT